TACTTACCTGTTCGACACTTTGGGTGGATGCTATATCTATTAGCTCCCTTACAGTGGTATCAATTATGTCATTATCATTATCATCCTCTGGAGCCTCTTTTGAAGTCGAATGACACACAAATTTAATGACTCGTTCCCATTCCTCCTCCATATCGCTTTGAAGTAGTAACTGTATTTGTACAACAGAGGATTAAACAGTATATATAACAATTAAAGAAACAAGAGGGTACTTGCAGTTTGTGTACCATTTCGTCAATAATACGTGACTTCATTTTTCCTTACCTGCTAGTGCATGTTAAGAGAAGCGACCAGTTGCAAAGACTCGGTCCTTTATAGCTTCCTCTGAGTTCATCTTTTATTGATTTTACCCCTTCTTTGTCCTTTAAAATCTTTCCAATCCTAATCACCCATTGCATCATTGTTGATAAAAGATCATTGTGCAACATTTCTTCTAGCTCTTCATATGAGTCATGCTCACTATCGTCCTCAGGAGCTACAGACGGTTTTATAAATGGTACAATACAAACACGAGACTGTACCCTATTAGCAAGGATAAGAAAAAGTAAATTTTTCTACTACATTAGCTACCTCTCTTCTTGACAAAGACAAAAATTGGTCGATATGATTGGTATGGACCTTGGCTGCCTAGACCCTCTGTTAAATGTTGCACTGGGATTCCTATTATATAGATCTACAACGACGTCATTTAGGTCATTTCCTGCATTTGTTCTTTGCATGGGATCATCTATCCCGAAAGGCAGTGTTGAAAGACCAGATCTCAGGAGAATGAATGCGTTGGTCACCTTTTCATATATCCCATCATCTTTAACTCCTTAACAAGACAACACAGGTAAGGATACTTAATCACATTGTATAGATAGTACATCATCTATATTTTTTAAAATCATACCAATTGTTGACAACGATGTCCTTAAAGTTGTTGACTTCCCAGTCTGAGATGGCCCCATCAGCACAACTACAGGGCACGACATGCTTCCCAGAGTAGCATAGTGAAAAGAGAGTAGCGAAGCTGAAATCCCAATTATGGATGCAAAGAAGTTGTGCTTCAAGACTATTCGAAGATTTCTTAAGACCCTATTAGTATGCACAACAAGGATTGTTATCTTAGTCAATGTTATGATAGATACATGTATGCTATGCAAGATACCTGTTCAAAATGTTTGTATCCTGAGGCATTGCTGGTTTCTTTATAACTGGGATCAGCTCTTTGATGCTTACAGATGTTGCTTCATCAGTAAGCATGTCCTGTAGCCATATGTACATTTGTTCCTCCAGAGGAATTTCTTCCCCATCATAATTGAAGTGGTGATCTTGACCGAAAACCCACACCCCACTTGGCTGCAGGCCTACTATAGAGGCTGCTCTTTTTATGGGTAGATGACCAGAACTTTCATTCTTTAAAAATTGAATAAAAGAGGAAAATTGTGTCTCATTTAGAGCTAGAGACATTCCTCCTGAACCGAAAGAATTATTGATGGATTGCATAAATTTTGATCTGTATCCAGCTGAATCAGTGGTGAAGAAACATGTCCTATGTAGATTGTATTATGGCAAAGTATATTTTTGCTGCATATACCTTTCAGCTCCATCAATAGCTCTTTTGACAAGTGCCAAATGTCCCGTTTTACTGCCAGCTTCGACTAGACATTGCAGTTTGATAGCAAAATCCCCCTTTTTCTCACTCTTCCTATTCCGGGACATCATACCAATAGCAGGTTCTTCCCACTCAATGTAAAAGGATTTCTATAATGATGCCAAATAATTAATTTTATTTAAATATAATAATCATAACCTGTGTGTGTTTATACATAAAGACAGCCACAGCGTAACAGTACATATATAAATAATGTTTCTATTCCTTTAATCAAAAGCTGCAGGCAAGTTGGGCAATGATGTTGGGCTCAGCCGGACTGCAATAGCATGCAACAAAGCCACCCACATTTTGCGCCACTAGGCGATAGAAAATTGCCTCGCATTTTACGCAATAGATGCCACTAGGCCTACTAGAAACCTTGCCTTAGCTTCGCAGTTTGAACTTGCCTGAGGTGATGAGTTGCTCGCTGGAGAGCACAACGATCTCCTGTTTGGAGTAATGTCCATGAGTCTCAGTCTGCAGCGTAGGCTCCGACTAGGTGCTTAGATAGTGACTGAAGCTTTGCACTTGTTTGCTTTATATTTATAGCGCATGCACTAAGCTGTGAGAACACGTAGCATCTACGGGCACTGCAGGGCACCTTGGGCACCTTTAACATTTTAGAAAATTGCAATGCAATGATTGCATCCACATGCATGCATGCGGCATTATCTATGATGCGATTAAGATTGCATGCAAAAGGCTCCTCCCAAAAACAATGAATAATAATTATTTAAAAGGCATCAAAATATCAACAACAAAGGAAAGTGTAACAGTGATGAAATACATGACAATGTAGGACTAATTAATATTCAGCTATTTATAAGTAGCATTAGTGTCAGTTTCAGTATTATTATATTATTGAACAATGCCTTCCTTCTCGTCTATTAGTTGATATCCTGGTCTCAGTTGTACTATGGTTCTCTAGTTACTCTATTTAATTTACGTTTCCTTTCTCTTCTTTCGGCTGATTCTGGCTTCTCACGAAACTCTCTTTTGTATGAGTGGAGGTCTTCTGCTTTAATTTGATCGTATACCTATGTATAAAAGAAAGAAATACATAGATAGATACATACATAATTCAATATTAATTAGGCTATCACCTTTGACCATACTTACCATATCTGTTGATCTGTTCACCGACAGTGTCAAACTGATGAGTCCAATATGACTTCTTCAGGGTTATTAATGAATGACCCCAAAATCAATACGAAGAGCTACATAGTCAAAGTACAATTGAAGTAATAAACAGACAACCTTTACATGTGTAGCTTTACCAACACAGGCACACACACAAACACATGATGATACCAAAAAAATAATACATAACCAAATAAGTATAAACAGCAGAAACAGCATAAGTATATAATACATGTGTACGATTACTAGGATGATTACTAGGATTACTAGCGGCCCACTTCCCAATCTAATCATGTGCACCTAGTGTTGTTACAGCTACACTTACAACAATATGGGAGGGTAGGTCACAGGCCAAAGGTCACCTTTATCGGAGAAGTTTCCACATGTGCTAGAGGAACACAAGAGACTTAAACATTTGTGTCAGTGGTATTTTGTTCATAGTACACTAACCTTGAACATATTTTATTGAAAATTTTAGAAACTGGCCTAACATTAATTATACCTCTTCTGATTTGTACTTACTCTGGCCTAGTGAAAGAACTCCAATTTATTAACTTCTTTAAAAATTGTACTGTGTACTTATAGTATAGGGATTTTCAAGATACTGACATTTGGCTGACATTTTTACTGCCGTTCTGCCCACTCAATGTAAAAGGATTTCTATAATGATGGCAAATATTAATTTTATTTAAATATAAATATATTTAAATATAATTTAAATATAATGTGTGTTTATATATAAAGACAGACACAGCGCAACAGTACATATATAAAAAACGTACAGTTTCCCAATCTAATCAAGTGCACCTTGTGTAGCTACAGCTATATACATTTACAACAATATGATATGGATGGGAGGGGGGGAGTTGGCCTCGGAGATTGCTCTCGGAGCCATTTTCACAAAATTTGGCCTGAGACAAGGCAATAGCCTTTGGCGATACTTACCATATCTGTTGATCTGTTCACCAACAGTGTCATAAACTGATGCTTCAGGATCAGACACTAGCTTTACTGTGGGACTTGGCATTCTAACACCAATAACAGTACATAATAGTACATACAAACAGACTGACCAGTTGATTTTGTATCAGGTGAATATCACTAGTCATAAAGGAGAAGTACATGTAAATGCATCATCTCTTCCTTGTTCATGTTTATCATCTTCACTATCTTGCAGAGGAAAAAGGGACGACTAATGAGTTCTTTAGGATTACTAATGAATGCATGACCCCCAAATCAATACGAAGAGCTACATATAGTCAAAAAAGTACAATTTAAGCAATAAACACATTTGAAATTACTATCTTCATTATTTTACATGCACCTTTGCTAACACAGGCACACAGACAAACACATGATGACACCTAAACAAATAAATACATAACCAAAGAAGTATATAATACATGTACAATGATTTTCCCAATCTAATCAAGTGCACATTGTGTTGTTACAGCTTCACTTACAACAATATGATGAGATGGATCGCCAAAGGTCAGTCAGGTCACCTTTCATGATACTGACATTTCATTGGTATTTAATTTAGCGCTTTGATCATTTAATATTAATAACTAGTAATAATTCAATCAGAAATTAAAGTCAGATTTAAGTTAGCAATTTCTTTAAATGGCTCAAATTCAAAAAGTCTTCCTCACCTTGAGGCATATCAACATAACCTTTTATTACACATGCATGTGCTATTAACAATTAAGCAGCCCCTGAAGCTTCACTGTGTACAAACAGGCATAAGTAAGGTACAATTTCAAGCAATAAACACATTGGAAGAAAGTCAAGTAATGTAATTAGTTGTTATACACGGAAAGGGCAAGATTATTCATTCACAAAAAATGAAATGATAACTTTGCCCAACACACTGAACACAGATACAAACACTACACAGAACAATCAATCAACAGGATCAACTACCACCAATGAAAATGCAGCTGAACCACCCACCAATGAATGCAAAACACATGCACAGCCCAAAGCAGATAAAGAACAATGATCACAATACAATGACAACAAAGTCCATTAAAACGGTACAAACACTAAATGGGAAACCATTAATCATTCACACACATACATGTACTTCATTGTACATGTACTTCAGTGCAATTCCTGTACAGGTATTGCTGTAAGTAATACACACAACTGAGCAGAAGCACTCACATCCACAATCTAATCATTTTGTTGTTACAGCAGCATGTACAAAGCTCTGTTTGCCGAGGTGACCCTTTATCGGTGACCTTTATCGTAGAAGAACTTCCACCACTTGATTTACACCAACATCCTAAAGTAATTAATGAGGAACATAAGAGGCCTAGTCATCATTGTGTCAGCGGTGACTTGCTGATATACCTCATTATCCAGTAATTGAACTGCTAATGTCCTCCAATCCTCTTGTCCAGTCATAAAGGCATTCACCATTCTACAAGCACACTTTTGTAATTGTATTATTAACAGTAACAGCACCTTTCTCTCTCTAGTATACAGTATGATGTACTTGCTTTTAGCTGTAGCTCCTCAAAGCAAAGGGCTAAAAATAAAGAAATAATTGTGATATTTTTAGAGAAAAACAAATTTGCACTGTAAAATGAACCTTAGCAAAGTAAACACAAGAGCCAGGCCAAAAGAAGTCACAGTGGTGGTTTCCTGATTGATATTTTCTTGAATGCATACTATAAAATGAAGAACAAAAAAGGTAAGTGTGTCACACTGATAATAAAAGATTTCAACCACTTAAACTCATGATTGTTGATTCTATAACTTCAGAAACCATAAAATACACATGTACATATATGTAGTCAATTCATTTCGATACTACTTTTCAAGTGATACTATTGCGATTGGAACAGTGGCAATAGACAGACAGTCCACAAACGTAACCATTACAATTTTCTAGCCAAAATATATGTATGTAGTAATAGAATGATGCCTATGGAAAAACCAAAATACATGTATTTATAATGGAGAATAAGACAAAAATTTAGAAAATGAAAAACAGATATCATAAAATTAATCACTAACATGTACACAGGGATGGGCATCCATTCCTTGTCTCCAGAAGGCTTGCATAACTCATAGATGAAAAAGTCGTCACAATCCATAATGTGAGTAATAGGGTCGTTGATGTAATAATAGACAATGAAATTGACTACGATGGACATAAAGCTAGCTGGTAAGGGACAAAAAAGAAAGGGAAATAAGTGCACAATTGCAAAGAAAGTAAAATACGTATACACTGTACATGTAGAAAAGGTCTTACGATTACATTGGATGGATCAACATCAGTCACTTCCTGACAATTCTCTTTATGTGAGTAACGCCTCCTTTCATATAATTCACAGGTTATTTGAAGTTGCTTCAAAATTTGGTATACTCCACATTATTTTGTCAAATATCCCTAAGAGAAAAATTCTTTGACTTTGACTTATTTTTTATAAAAAATTGAATTTCTTACAAACTTTTAAAGTTAAGGTGGGCTTACAATGTGGCCAGTTAATCAATCCAAAGCATGGGTAATTTGACCTTTTGACACATTGTTTGCACTGGAGTTGAAACTTTATCGTAAACATAACGTTAGGACTGGCACAATATTGGAAACCTGCCTATACTAAAAAAGCCATGTATGTAGTATTGTAGTGCTTATGAAGCATAGCTCATGCAATTATCAGAGAAACACTGATTAATGCTAGTTATTAATAATTACTTGTGCTCCATTACACCAGTGCACTTTAAATCCATGACACAGCTGTACCTCTTCAAAGCAAAGGGCTAGAAAAGTAAATAAATAAATGAGGTATTCATACAGTAAAATAAATCAAAAAAATTTGTTATATAAACTTTAGCAAAGGAAGCAAAAGAGCTAGGGAAAAAAAAACTCACAGTGGTGCTTTCCTGATTGATATCTTGCTTGTAAAATTTCTTGAATACATACTACACTGCATATAAAAAAAGACTGGAAAAATAAGTGTGTCACACTGATAACAATTTAACCACTTTAATTCCTGATTGGCGATTCTATTAATTCAGAAATCGTCAAGTATGTAGTCATTTTATTCTGACACTACATTTGCAATGATACTATTGTGATTCAGTATCAATGCATAATTGATCCTATTTATTGAATGTTTATTTTTTCAGGATCAACTATAGCATCAATTGCTATTTCTAATGCAACTGAAGCATTCAAAGTTTTCCAGATCAAGGGAAGAGGATGAAAATGTGCGCTTAGCACAAGACTGGTGAACCCAAGTAGAACATTTAACGCACTCTATCCACTGTACATCTGATTCTTGGCGATGATCATCATCGGAATTGAAACAGATTGAACAAACAGTGACGTCAACTTGGCTTAAATGTGACTTGATTGTCGTCTGTTCTTCGCTACTTGGTTTTTTTATTGCTTTCATTGCTTCTGTACGTCTTTTTTTTGTTGAATAAAATTTCGCTTGTGTCACAATATTAGCATTTGGTGCTGGACGTTTCCTGACAGGTAATGGCTGAGCCATTACATCTACTTGTGTTTGCAGCAATGCCATCATTGACGACAAATGGCTATTAAGCTCAGCTAAATTTTGGCCCGAGCTTTTGACTATCATATCTCTCACTTCCTCATGTTTCTTTAATAATGACTCTTTACTAAGAGTTCCCAAGGAAGAAGGCACTGATGATCCCGGTCCTGCTGAGCTGATGCATGTAGCAACAGTGACAGGCTGGGAATCATCTACAGCAGTGCTATCAATTAATGATAACTCAATATTTGGATTACATGTGACTTGATGATGCATACAAACAAGGTGGATGTGCTTAGAAATAGTGAAATGCATCACAGCATCCATGCAATTACAACTAAACATGTGAGTACAAATGTTACATTCATCACAACGCAGCTTACATGACAAATTACATGCACTTGCAATCTTTTCAACAATGTACCATTGGTCAGGAGTAGACTGAGACTTAACTTTCCAGCTGTTACCATCATTTGACTGAATGTCAATACCTCTTTCATTAATAGTAACAGCAGAACAATGTCTTTTACGTATTTCACAAAGTTTGTGTGATCTCTTACCAATTTCCTCCTTCCTTATGTAGTTATAGATCAAGTCTCTATTTATTTTGAATAAAACATGGAGGAGATGATCGAGGCGTCTGTTTTGCTTATGCTGCAAATACTCAATCTTTAAAACTCTATGAAAAGCTTCAACGGCCATGTTAGTGCCTATGGATGCATTAATTCTATGGCATGTTGCCCACTGGTCGCTTCTAGTTGCATAGGTAGTTCTCATGTATTCATAAAAGCGTGGATGCTTTTCTTCAAAATACGACATTGCTTGTGATAAAAGCACCTGAAAGTCAGTAATGCTAGTCTCATTGAGCAGCACTCTTAGCATGTGATAGACCTCTGCCTTTTGCTCATCACCCGGCACATGAGCATGTATTGCTTTCTTCCATGCGCGGTCTACATGCCAGATGCACAATAGTTTTTTTTTCACTGGTCCAAAAACACCACACCAGGCTGTGTGGTATTGCTCAGCATCATCGCTCATAAAATAATCTGGGCCAATGTTACCTACACGTTCATGCATGTGTTTAAAGAACTGGGACAATACAGAGCTGTCTTCTCTATCTGAAATGCACCATGCTACTGGTACACCTTCACCATAGTCATCCAACACCATTACTGTGATCAAAAAAAAATCATACACATTTGTGCCATGAGTTGCATCAACACATACAACTCTACCATTACAAGCAAACTTTTTCATGGCATCGCATTGAAATTCAGTTTGTATAGCCAAAATAAAATTTTTCTCTTCTAAATTGTCAGTATCGCCAACTACAGAATCTTTTCGACCCTGTAGCTTAAACACTAAAACTGGGTTGTATGGTTGAGTGAGGGCTTCTTGTACCCAAATAGCTACACTAGTCTGATCATTCGTGTGTTTTTGAATGTTACTTAGGTTAAGTATGCGTTCTATATTTTTTATATCTTGTCTCACTATTAGATGCTCCCGCTTATAACCCTGGTCCAAAGAAACGTCACGAATGCTGTCTAGAATATTATTTATAGAAACGCCAGCTCGTAGCTGGCTAGCAATCTTAACCCTTGAACTATCTGGGAGTCTAATGTGCGCCAAATCTTTCTTGTGACCACAATGTGTGCTATTGTAATATACCTTGCAATTTCCACTGACCATGTTCTGTTCAACTTTCATATGAGCTACACAAGTAGCGCCAATCTTTGATGTTTCTTTCATCTTGCTACTTCTAGCACCAGACTTCCTGCCCTTTCTGGATTCTCCAGACCTATTACAATAAAAATAAACATGTTTAACACAATCTTTCACAACACTTCCTCCGTGCATAACAAAATTGGAGGAAGTGCTTTCCTCTTCTCTGGATTTCCATAGGGAAAAATCATCATAACTTGCAAATGAATGCTCTGAGTTGTCAATGGAAAGATGATGAATTTCTTTGAGATGAGCTTCGAGAGAACTGATGCGACAGAACCTACACAAATGGAGAATCCAAATAATGAAAGAGATACAGTTAATGATCTCAGCTCAGACAGGTTTATAAACAAGTGCATAAGGCTGAGCATAGATACATCATGACCAAGAGATACATGCTACAGATCCATGGGAATTGATTAATATTCCATAATTATGCCCAACTCAGTATAGACCCCCTAGGCACTAAGACTATTTTGAATGAATTATTTACGGTAGCCACCCACAATTAAAATTACTGACTGCAAGAAGCTCTCCACATCAAAGGCAGATCAAAGCCCAAGGTGCTGAAATGAAGCATAGCAAGAAAACTATGCTGCAGCAAGAGTTACCTGGTCTATATGATGTAGTCTGGCCTCCATACCTTCCATAAATGCTGCTTGTAAGCCTGTAGTACCTTGTAGCGCTCAGAAAAATGGCTAGGCGGTGTCACCGCCTTTGATTTTCTTTTGATCTCGAGGCCTTCTTCATAGGCTTCTTGCCGTCAGTAATTTACATCGTGGGTGGATACCGTATAGGAAAATTTTATTTATTATGAATGAATATCATTATTGTAATCATATTCATTGAAAATAATCTTAGCGCCTAGGGGGTCTATAGGCTAGTGGCGTAAGTCATGGGATGTGTGGTCATTGTCATGCAGCCATCTTGGCCTCTATTACATTTTATTGCAATACCGTAAATACATTTTGGAATCTAAGTTTGTAGTCTAAGACAGTTTGTGAGCTTGTTCAAATTAGACTAACTATTGCTGTTCTCCATTGACCATGATTGATAAATTTGCTGCTGCTGATAAGAAAAGGCATATGGCTTTGCTCTAAAAATAGTTACTTAGTAGGTGTAACACTAAAAATTATTGACACACCTTTCATGAATAATTTATTGCCCCCCATGGATTGAAGCCTAGATTCACCTCTGCCATAGAAAATATATGGCGCATACAGTATCACAATAAATGATACTTAAAATTCTATGAATCTTAATCAGTGATTAACTCATTTTGTAGCCCATCCTTAAATATTAATCACTACTGTGCATCATTTTGAAAAATTATATTTCTCAACGATAAATATCAAACATGGCTAGGTAGGATTTTTCCCTTTGTATGCATACATAGGTATATTATAGGTATATATCATAAACTGAATCTCACTTTGTAGACAAACAAAAAGGACACAGTAGAGACCCGGTCTCATCACTCCTCTCCGGGTGGCACTGCTTTATGTGCCTAGACACGCCTTTTGTATCAGCATAGGACTTCTGACAATGAGAACAATTTATTCTAGGTTGAGATGAAGAATCGCCTCGGGAATTAGCCGCCATGATCGATCCACCTCCACACGTGGGGCACTATGAGTGCACGTGGCCACGTGCACGTAAGCGCACGTGGATGATCGTATAGATTGACTGAGCACGCGCAGACAATCGAGCTATAGCCAGTTAGCCACGAGATGGCCAGTGAAAAAACAGTAAGCAGGACTAATCTCCAAGACCTAAATTCTTCATCATGTTACAAATTTCCTTAGGTTTTGAAACAAATAAACGATTTAGAGAAGGAAACTGAAGAAATAAATGCCAAGATTTCACAACTTTCTCGACAGAGAAAATCAAAAATGTTGATGATTAAGGCCTTGAAGGCTCAATTAGTAAGTGTGGTATACATTTTTTGCCACAACTATCATGAATATTTTATATAGGAAGTGGAAACTGGAGTTGCTATAGAGCAAAATAACACATACAATAAGAAAAAAAGAAGGCCACTTTATCGGCATAAATACTAACTTTATGTACATGTAGATCTATTGTTTAAGATCATTTTTAGTCAATATAACATAGTCATTAGTAGATCTACGTGCATTGACTGCATTCAATGCATGCACTGACACTA